TTATCAGAGATACTTGACTGTATTTAGATTTCATAAAATTTACAGTTGAAAAGCTAACCTCACATCCTTGCAAACATATTTAAACATTTTCTAATAACTGTTGAGTATCAGTTTTTTAATTTAAATTTTAAAATAATTGAAATTAACTAAATTAAAAATTCAGCTCCTCTGTCATGCTAGCTACTCCCAAGTATTCGGTAGCCACATGTAGCAAGACATGCAATACTAGGCATTGAAATGAAGCAACCTCAGCTACACGCAACAATATAATGAATTTATAAGATAACGTTGAATGAAAGAAGCAACATAGAAAATAATACATAAAATATGATTCCATTTATATAGAGTTCAAGAAGAGGCAAAACTAAATTATGTTGTTTACAGCTGCCATATGTTAGGTAAAACTACATTTAAAAAGCGAGGAAATTGGGGGGGCCTGGGTGGCTCAGTTGGTTAAGCACCCAACTCTTGACTTGGGCTCAGGTCATGATCTCAGGGTCGTGGGACAGGGCTCTATACTCTGTGGGGAGTCTGCTAGAGATTCTCTCTCTCTCCCTCTTCCTCTCCCCCTCCCTCTCTCTTTCAAATTAATAAATCTTGAAAAAAATAAAAAAACCCAAAAAGCAAGGAAATTATTATTAAAGTCAGGATAGTGGTTACTTCTGGGGAATCAGAGAGAGGGTTGTGATTGGAAGGGGCACACTGGGGGCTTCTGGGATGCAGGCAGGGCTTTTTGACATGAATAGTGTTACATGAGTATTTGCTTGATAATTACTAAACTGAACATTTATTAATGAACATTTTTTTAGTTCTCAAGAATATTTTTTAGTCGGGGAGAAAAAAAACCAATGGCTTTCTCTGCCACACTGCTATAGTTGTATATGGGGCTTCCGAATAGAATTTGGGAAGAGAGAGGAGGAAATGGCAGTTCTGCCAGGGTTGTTGGCACCGAGAGCTGGGTTCTAGCAGAGACTTTGTGATCCAGAGAGTAGGCTTTAAATATGCATTTTGGTGCAAAGAGTGGATAGGATTGTGTGTGTGTGTGTGTGTGTGTGTGAGAGAGAGAGAGAGAGAGAGGGAGAGAGAGATGGAGAGAGATGGACACAAGGAGTACATGAAAAGAAGGATTTGAATGGAAACAGAGCAGAGATCAGTACTCCTAAATTAAATAAGAATTAGTGTATTTAGGGGGCACCATTACCCAGGTTTCCTCTCCCATATGGAAGTTAGTCCTAGGTAGTAAATAGTTGTAGTTATTTTGCATTTTGATGCAAAAATAACCTTTTCATTTTTCAGAATTCTCAGGGAAAATTATTTGACCGAATTACATAAGGACTCATTTGAAGGCCTACTATCACTCCAGTATTTGTAAGTTAATTAATCATTTATTATGACTTTTTAGTTATCTATAAAACAAATATGGGGTGCAAATTAGATAATTGCGACAATTCCTTCTAACAATAAAATTCTACAGTTCTGTAAGTCTGTAGGGCCCCAGCCCATCTCTAGCATTAAATATCTTCTATGCGTTTTCAGTTTTTTTAATTTTATATACAAGATATAGACAGAAAAAGACCCTACAGAGCGAAAGGGGTAATGAGGTCTGAGCAATTATGGACACCCATAGGAACCTTGTTTCCTAAGTGTTCATATACCATCTGCTTACATTTATATTTAGTTTATGGCTCATGGATCAAATCCCACCCATGGTCTGTCTTTATACAGCCTATGAGTGAAGAATGATTTTTACAGTCTTAAAGGGCTATAAAAGAGAAAAGAAGAGAAAGAGAAGAATATGCAACAGAAATGGCATGTGGCCTGCAAAGCCCAAAATACTTACTATCTGGCTTTTACAGAAAAGGTTTCTAAAAGTTGGTTTAATAAAATGAGAGGAATTAAAGGTAACCTCAAATTATCACCTACAGGACAAGAAAATATAGAACACTTAGATTAATTTGAATGCCATTAACCCAGAATTTTTTTATAATTTAAGCTAAAATAAATAAATATTAAATATTTAACTAAGCAGGTAAATTATGTAAGCAGTATTATCAATTATCAATACATATTAAGTTACCAAGAGAACAGATTAAGGATTTCAGTGTGGGAATTCTTATACCAATATTAAAAATAGGTGTTT